AGGTTGAGCATCTTGTCGTGTGTGTGTGTGGTTGGTTGGTTGGTTTCTGAATTTTTTTATAAACATTAAAAGAAATCTTGTCTCTTCGTTGTTTTCTTTCTCAGCATACGACTGTTTGTTTTTCCTATCTTCCAAATCTTTATTTGTTTAGAGTTTTTTGTGCTCACCATACTTTGTTATTTCTCTTTTGCATTAATTATTGTTTTTTGGTTGGGTACAGAGATGGGGTAATAAAAATTTTCAAGAAAAAAAGTGGATAATCTTGAATTGTTATTGTTCTTATATGAGGATAGAAAACGATTTAAGTTAGCCTGTCGTTGATATTCAGAACTAAATTTTGATCAGTTTCTGTTGGTATATGCGTAACATGAGTGGATTACCATGATATAGCCATTATGTCGGAAGATTTCTACAGAATAAATGTAATGTGACTAACAGTGAATTACCAACAGCAAGGTGACTCAAATTCTGCCTTCTAACAATGTAAATAGTATGTCTGTTGGAGCTATTGTCTAGGTAGATTCGGTAGCCCAACGGATAACTCCGTCGGCGTTTGAAACCAAAGATACTAGTTTTGATTACTGATGTAAACAAAAGCACTGAGATTCAGATATATCCAGCTGATGAGTCTCAAATGGGACTAGACTCCTGTTCTGCGTGGTAGTTTCGTGCCTTAAGGTAACCCTCGTGCTATTGATAGAAGAAACCAGAGAAGTAGTGAATAGGTCTTTATTTCGATCTTAGCGCAGTCGCAGTGGAGCGTGGGATTATCTGTTCAGACAAACAAAGGCTCTCAACATTCAATATAAGATAATAGGGAATATAACGCTTATGAAAAATAAGGAAGTGAATGAATACTTGAACAATACTGTTTTGGCATAAGCTTGGTTGTTTGGGGTCAACTCTTACCCAACCAACCTGAGCTGTTACATTAGCTTCCCCCTAGAATCGACTTCCGTAGGAACGTCGGTTCGATTAACCTATCCATCGAAAACACCTTAGTTCTATTTCTCATCCCAAGGGAAATTTATCAACTCGCTCTCTATTTGACTTACAATCAGTGACGACTAACGCTGTCAACGATAGTCCATGGATGTCTCCTCATTTACTAGCTTGTCATCTTATTTTGTAGCATGTGATCTATTCTACAACTATCGCTGACGGTTTACTGCGTGCTTTCAAGAGAAAGAGTGTGAGAATGTGGAATAAGAATATCTGAGGAAGTGCCGCGAGCGGGCTACCCAACACCATGTTGGTGAGGTACGATTTTTCCATGCTCAGACCGGCTATCAGGTGTTTACTCACCTGCCTCTTTAGTCGCCCTCAAGTAAAAAGTAAAGAAGAATCTACTTCAAAGGTAATGGTGAAAACCAATCACACCTGAAGACTGCTCCACTGCCTGCATAAAAATAATAAGATACAAAATGGAAATACAAAAATATAATTTATAATTGTTCGGTTCCACGTAAGTGATTGGCCTCCAGAAAGGATTGGTATTCTGGAAGAAAATAGACATAGTGTAGCCATCTTATGTACGAAAAGGTATGAACACAAAAAAAATACTTTTTTATAATGCATATATGTAAAAGTGTAAACTTGCTAGAAGTTGGACTTATTGTCAAACCCGATCAAATGTATGACCTTGGGCCTATGACGACCGCCTTTTATAACCAGGTACGTAACCAAGGGTGTATAGTTGTACTCCACAAAACGGAAAACAATATACGGTTAAGGAGGAGAAAAAATTTGTGTAGATTATGAGGATTAAGTACAATTGTGTCAAATACTCTTTTCTGGTTTGATCTAAGTATGTATGATATACTGATATACTAGCCGCAATTTATTTATTCTTTAAAACTTTTTTGAACATCTTTAATTATTCGACAATGGCGTACATATTATCAAATTGAAAAGCTATTTTAAATACGTAGAGTATTTTTAAAAAGATTCTAAATAACTGGTGGGCATGACTTATGTAAGAATCAGCACAATTCCAGTAGATAGTGAAGAAGATTTGTGGCTCGAGTGGATGATTTTGATGGAGCTTAGAGAATAAAACTATTAAAAACAATTCTAATGGGTTTTATATTGATGTGTTGACCATTTAGGGACTATTCTAAAAGTTGAACTATTTACAATAATGTACAGGAAATTGTTTAACAATGTTTCATATTATTTAGCACTCAATCATTAACAAGACTTATCTCCATTGTGAAGCTAGTAGAATACGAATGCACATCGGGCAACATGCAAATATATAGAATACTGAAATATTTACCTGTTTAATTCCATTCATGTTCTGTCAGTATAATACGCTAAAATACAAGATGAATCTATAAATGTAATGGTTGTCTATTAACTCAGTTGATAAAAACTCAACAAACGATTCACCTATTTTAATTGGCTAACTTTATAGTTTTATAACCCTCTAATTAATCGAATATAACCGTTTTTTAAGTTCATTTCATGATAAAGTATTATGTCCACATATTAGAAGCTATAAAAGATACTAAAGAATTTAGTTAACTTTTTCTAGAGGATTCCGATATCCTACAAAAGTACATGATCAAACTGAGTAAAAGATGTAATCGAAAACAATGTTCGATATACCCGTTTCAACAATGAACTTCTCGTACCCATTAACATCGTATATGATATGATTCTTAGGTATCCATTTAACAAGGCATACTTTGTATCAAGGAACATGTTTATATTAAAGATGCCAGAAAGTTAGCATGAATATTGGAGAGTAAAATGGGCTTTAAACCATGGACTTATCTTAGCTAGACCACTATAGGAAATCTGGAACCATTGAATGACTGTTTATCCTAAGCAGTGTTACTTTTGACCCTGCATCTGGAAGTCGAACTTGGGATCACTGGCCTCACACAAGAACTCTCAACCTCAACCGCTGAGACGGTGTCGCGAAATGTCCTGAACTGACGGAATTTAGGCATTAAATTCTCTGGTTACCGGCTTATTGATCTACAGGTTAAGGGTTTACGCTCAATACTGAATGTGCTGCGTTTGATTCTCGGATGCAAGACTGTGGATGCACACTGCTAAAGAATACTACACTACGATAAAATGGTCATCCTATGCTTCCACGTTTTCAATCGTGATTTAGCTAAGATCACTCTAATTTAAAAACGAAAAATTCTATTATCTCAACAAACTGCCATACTGATAATTCCTGAATAGCAGTTTAAATCAAATCACCAGGGAGTTGAGTATGATCACTTAGATTCTAATTTATGCAGCTTAACATTTTAAGAGCCATATTAATAACGCTTACTAAATGTCAAAACAGGATATAAAGTTGTGAAATATGTATATTTGTTAGTAATAATACATGGTTAGCGTTTTTTTAGCGAGCTAGTTTTCTACAGGATGGGGTCGCTAACCCCATGCTCACCCCCTCCTTTATCCGAGCTTGGGACTGGCAGTAGTCCCCAGAGGGACTCCAGGCGAAGTTAGTGATACATGACTTGACTAAATACTCCATTACTAATCCACATTGAGTGAATATGAATTCTTAAGAAGATCAGTTATTATATTATAGTTACTTATATAATAAATTATTTTGAACAGGGGAATTAACAATGCAATTAAATTAAAACAATCCCAATGTTTATCACTGATTCTTTTTTCTAGTAACCACCATTTTTTGAAAAAAAATTCATATATCACTATGGTAAGTTTGTCAAAGCATTCAATTAACTAACTAGCTACAAAGTTGTCAGTCCATTAGAAATGAACTGAGAAAGTTCAAAGGAAACACTTGTAGATACATGTTCTTTTTTTTTCTATTGCATTTGATTTCATTGATATCATGACAAACAACATCATACTTTAATAATAGTGTAATTACAAGTAAATATGTATTGTATTGAAATACATTATAACAAAATAGATTTCATAAAGAAATATATATATGTCAAATAATTCTTGTAGAACACAAGAGAGAAAGTGTATGTATGTGTGTGAGTGAGTGAGTGAGTGAGTGAGTGAGTGACAGAGAGTGTGTGTGAGAGAGAGAGTGTGTGTGCGAGTGAATGAGTGAGAGAAAGAGGAAGATAGAAACAATGAAAGGGAGTAATATGAAATTCATTCATCGCTATAATTGTTTATTCATGTTTATTCTTAGTTTCAGGCTATTTAATATTAAATGCTTGAATATTAGAACAAAATAAATAATTCACATCAACATTTATTGTCATGTAAAATTAAATTGTCAATTCATTTATTTCTGATGAATTGACATACAACACTATGGACAATAATAATAATTGTCCTTATTATTTTTCATAAGACTAAAATGGATCTTCTGTTAATTCAACTTTCATACTTAATTAATGATATAGTAATCAAATGTTCAGATATTTTTACAGGGTATATTTACCATAAGAAACAGTTGAAAGTGAATGCCCAGAGAGAGAGAGAGAGTGTTATTTGGTACCATTCATGAAGTCAGTTCCTATTGTTAATTCATATGTATATGGATTTACATTAAATCAATCTGTAGTTGAGATTAGTTGTTTATCAGTTGAAGAGGGGGGACCGAACGGACGTATAGTACGTCGGCGGCCTGCCTGAATATCTGAGCTACCTGTTTCTGCTATCAGGATATTTCAACAAGTTATCTGTTTTCTTGTTTGTTTTAATACATCATAATGTCTGTTGAGTGCACAACCTATTCAGGCGCGTTTATGAAAAATTTGACGACGTTTCGCTGTACAGTTTATAAAAAGGTACAATCAGAGACATCATGGTGATTGACAATATGCATTGAAAAGAACAAACATTATTTAGATGTCGATTATAGAACTGCTAAAATCTAACTGGCGATCACTCAATATTTATCGTCAGGATCGATCAAGAAATAACAAACGGAAACTTGTTGAAATACTTTGCGGTGAGAATTCTATATTGTACCAAAAATGTAATATCGAATAAACCTAATAATAATAATCAACCATTCAGTAGTAAACAGTTCAGGATCAAAGTGAAATGTGCGCCAGTCTTAGCTGTCTCAGTCTATCAACAGTTGAAAAAAAACGAATAAATATCAAATGAGCCAAAATAGTAGTAGTAGTAGTAGTAGTAGTAGTAGTAGTAGTAGTAGTAGTAGTAGTAGTAGTAGTAGTAGTAGTAGTAGTAGTAGTAGTAGTAGTAGTAGTAGTAGTAGTAGTAGTAGTAGTAGTAGTAGTAGTAGTAGTAGTAGTAGTAGTAGTAGTAGTAGTAGTAGTAGTAGTAGTAGTAGTAGTAGTAGTAGTAGTAGTAGTAGTAGTAGTAGTAGTAGTAGTAGTAGTAGTAGTAGTAGTAGTAGTAGTAGTAGTAGTAGTAGTAGTAGTAGTAGTAGTAGTAGTAGTAGTAGTAGTAGTAGTAGTAGTAGTAGTAGTAGTAGTAGTAGTAGTAGTAGTAGTAGTCATGCAGTGTAGATCTATCCACAATTTTGTGTTAGATGAATAGTATTCAAGGGTGAAGCAAAGCATTACATGAAACTTCAATCAAGTGAATCTACAAATGATGTGTCTTAAAATAAATGAAAAATGAACAGATTGAAGTAAAGTTAATAACAAAACAGAAGTTAATACAGTGGACAAGTCAAATTGTTTTCTACTTCAAAGTTACTGAGAATAGTGTAATTGATTATTCATTATCTACAAGAAAACATAAATCTTGCATGTATGATACATATGTCTGATCTTGAGAAATTATTTATACACTCGAACTGTGAAAACTTCTTCATCTTGACAAATACTATGTTTTGTTGTACAGAAATGTTAACAGCTTACTTCTTTTGGATGTATTCGATGTAATTTTATTTTCGTAAGACATTGAAAACTTCAGAACTAAACCGTTCAACTCTTACTTACTTACTTACGCCTGTTACTCCTAATGAAGCATAGGCCGCCGACCAGCATTCTCCAACCCACTCTGTCCTCCGCCTTCTTTTCTAATTCCATCCAATTCTTGTCCATTTTTCTCATGTCTATCTCCATTTCTCGGCGTAATGTGTTCTTTGGTCTTCCTCTTTTCCTTTGGCCTTGAGGATTCCATGTGAAGGCTTGTCTTGTGACGCAGTTGGGTGCTTTCCTCAATGTGTGTCCTATCCACTTCCAGCGCTTCTTCCTGAATTGTTCCTCCGCTGGAATCTGGTTTGTTCTCTCCCGAAGTTGGTTGTTGCTAATAGTGTCCGGCCAATGGATCCGAAGTACTTTGTGTAGACAACTGTTAATAAACACCGTTCAACTCAGGGAATGTAATTCAATTATTGTCGCCATTGAAATTACGACAAATGGACAATAACTCTGAGGTCTAACATGTAAACAACAGGTCATCACCATTTGGTTTAGCGTAATATAAAATTGGAAACGGTTTTTACATATTTTTTTAAAAAAAAAATATTAGCTGTTGTATAATTTTTTCTCGCAAAACTCCCGTCGCCAATTTGTTGTGACTTTAAGCTCGGACAGTCATGACGTGATTTATTCGCCAATTGAAATACGACCTATTCAATTTTAGTACTGTGCTAAAATAGTGATGTCCGACCAGTATAAGGAGCCTAGAGTCCTTATTGGTCCTTTGTTCGCCTAACCCGTCCAGTTGAGTCCAGAACGCTAATAATAGCTTCCATTATGCGAATCATTCATTTTAAACATACTTGGTTCATGTACCAGCCAAACAGACCGCATTACACCATAAAATAGGAAATAGCATTTATACAAGATCAAGCCAAAAATGGTTATGAACGTGAGAGACTAATCATTTAACTGGGCATAACTTAAGAACAGTAAATCGTATAATATTAACAATCTATCAGTCGAAATAAGGCTTATAATAAGATGAATATAGATATGCATAATCTAGTTCCTGAAGAGTCATACAATCAGAATATATATAATATTAGTCCATTATTAATTCACAGAAGTTACCCTTAGTTTAAACTTCACTAGGATATAACACTAGCCCACTTGTTTGAACTAATAAAATAAAACTAACTAAATTATTTGTTCAGTAAGACTTCTTGAATTATATTATTTAATTTCAATACTTGAGATCATGAATCAATTGAAGCTAGACCTGGGTTCGAATCTCACAGGGCAGGATCGTGGATACGCACCGCTGAGGACTTCCACAATGGATGTTCAGTGTTTTCAGGTTTTCTATAATGGTCTAGTTTCACTTAGCTCATGATCTGAAATATTGAAATTACCATAATATCCACAAAAACTCCTTTCGTTAAAACATGCATAAAAATCGCAATGTACATTATATTGTTATTGTAAATGATAAGCACATACATACGGGTTACTTGGTAATACATGTAACAATTATGATGGTATTTACTGTTCTATGAATTAGTGCAAAGTAAAACATGTTACCATATAAAATACAATTCATTGTGTACACATGAATTAACCAATTTTCAAAGTGAAATCTTATTTGTTGCATCATACATACATAATTGTTCTTTATATCTAATATGATCTAATATATTCGTTTAACATTTGTTGTTGTCTTCTTTGAAACATACTGATACAATCATCATTCTGACCTAGTTTAGAAAATTTAAGGGTTCACAGTTAATTTTGTCACATGTCACCAAATATAATATGTGTCAAATACATTTCTTATTTATGCATATATAAAAGAAATAGCACTGATCATTAGTTTAATTGATTCCAAGGCTATTACTACAAGTGCATGAATACTTTGTGATAGAAAGAATATTTAATGTTGAGATGGTGGAGGAGATTTGTAGCTCAGATGGATGATTTTGGTGGAGTTTTGTTCTCTGAGCTGGATGGTTTGGTCGTGGAGCTTTCATCGTTCTTCTGAACGACATCATCATCACATACTTCAAATAGAAGTTTGTGCTGATGATGTCGTTCAGAAGAACGATGAAAGCTCCACGACCAAACCATCCAGCTCAGAGAACAAAACTCCACCAACATATTTAATGTACAATGATTTTAAACTCATTCTAGTTCGTTGTGAGTTTAATATAGGTAACCTCATGGTATATTGATTGTTCTTATGGTAGTTTTTTTTTAAAATGTGTACGCGATTTCGACATTAGAAATCTACTTGACCATTATGAGAACTTGGAAAAGTAAATGAAGAAATAAACATGATTTAACAACTTTATTAGTGTAAATGTAGGGTGTGTGATAATGAAAACTATTAAAAGTGATTGATAATTCATGCTACCAAGAATAATATAAACGCAAATCAATTTTCTGAACTAGAGATGTTTTTTAATATTGTTTGAAGAATTTCTCATAAGTCACTTGTCGAATCCATTCATTTTCTCTAAGATAAATACATTTTCTTTTATTTGCTTGAATTATACTACTCTAGGGCCAGTGAAATTCAACTGAGCCCTAGACAAATCATCCGGCAGTTGGGTCACTGAATATCGGACAAATCATCGATTCCTGTCGAGGTCAAGGACAACCAACGCGCATCAGTTAATCATACGCCATGAACTGGACTATGCAGTGGTAGTCTTACTTTCACTTGTACCTACTTTAACTAATATGTTTCTGTAATAACATTCTTTGTGTTGTTCAGTCTTAAAAGCATCCATAGAACCATGATAAGACGAAGGGGTGATCCGGGTTAGATGCTGACTGCAAGGTGTGACTTTGATGTTAGCTATTGGTCACATCATTCCCGTCTAACTCTAGTAGACCCCCAATCATTCGACAAAGATTATCAACGTTGACGATCTACACTACTGTGGGAAGTTCTCATAAACATTCTGTTATAAGAAACAGTTTCAAAATTATAGAGACCACTTCATTTAAAAAGTACATGGTAGATAGGTCTATTTCATAAAAACTTATTACTAAATCAAATTCGTTTACATAGCATTATTTCAGTAGACATAATGCTCGAATTTTCAATTTATTGTAATTCTGAAAGAGCATATGCAATCTAATCTCAATCTGACTTATCTATATTCACCGCAAAATAGTAGATATTTGAAGTTTTTTGGTTTTCTTAGAAACAATTCATAGGATTGCTGTTTTCCAGTATTATGATTACTATGGACAGGGATTCTGATATTATTCTAAACATAGTTTTAAATGTAACGTCATAAAAAAGTTACCTAAGGAATTTGTGATTTTATTTGACGACAAACGCACCACTGTGCTTCATAATGGAATTATTGAAGGACGATAATATTGAGAAATTTTCAAAATTTGGCTATAATTTGATGACATAGTTTTATAACTGCTAGGCACTGATAATAGAAACTGGGTAAATAAACTTTATTTTATCAAGGCAATATCCATCCGACAATCAGTAGTCGATTAACTGATGTTTTTCTTGGACTGTTATTCATGGTTTCAACTAACTTAGATTTTAAGTCACACTTGTTTCAATATTGATATGTTTGATGTTGTTATGCACTTATGAATGAAACCTCATAATGAAAAATGTTGGTGAGAGTTCTTCAACCTTGGCTTATCTGTTAATTGATTTTGAGTATCTCTAGATTTTAATAATTATGATCAAACAACTCGGTGAGTACCAGAGTGAAAATCAACTCTGAGATGCAGGTACATCTAACTGACGAGTCCCAAATAGGACGAAACGCGCTTTCTGGATTCCATTGCTAGTCACTATCCATCTTTGCTTATAAAAGCTTATTAATTAAGGCAATATTGAGGCATACACATAGTATGCACATATGCCGATAAAAGACTGGTCAATTGCAGTCTTAACCCTCAATGGGAAGATACAAGCAAAACAATACCAAGTGAACTCGGTGAGTAGTTTTCAGTCCGTAACATATTGTTCTAAAATCAACAGATTTATAGTGTTTGGACATAATGATGACTACCTTATAAACCATTATGTGTTTAGCTCCGATTTCGACATAACGCATGCAACTGAGATCTCTGGTTCGATCAAGTCGTGACTTCTTGAGTACGTACTGGGTAGTTCTAGGAATTACCTGTTCTCGCATTACATTATGTACTGTAAATGCTATGAAGTATTTGAAAGTCCTGATTTTCATCATTTGATCCAGTCTATACCTATCTAGAATAATCTGTCTAAAGAATATTAAGATTAAATGCTACTCTCCTTGTTGCGTCCACCACACATTAAAACATCCGGAGCGTGTGAAAATCGATAATTACAAGTAAACTCATCTAGTCAGGAGTCATAACATCAGTTGCCGAGATCATCATTATACATCTGTGTTATAAGAAAGGCTTGATAACACGGAAATATTCATCGAATCACAGTTAATTACATGCTGGTTAACTTGTTAAGGTTTCTCCTACTTCTTGGTTCACTAATTCAATGATCCCTGATTCTTGATATAAACCAGGCTTTGCACTATACAATGTTGACTCTTATCTGTGCTCTTTAAATAATTGTTTATGTGGAAATTTAGATCATTGCAAGT